AGGAGGAGGAGGAGGAGGAGGAGAAGAAGGAGGAGGAGGATAACGATGAGAAAGAGGAGGAGGAGGCGGAGGAGGAGGGGAAGTCCAGGCCTCCCAAGTGGGGTCCGAGCAGGTGGAGTCGGAGGATCGCGCCACATCGCCAATGCATCGATCTTCTCCTCGCCGACGGCGCCGATGCATCGTCGATGTTGCCGATGCAATGGCGTTGCGTCGCGATCCTCCCACCCCATACACTCGGACCCCATTTGGGCGGCCTCTGAGACGGTGACGAGGTTAAGCTAGGCGCGATGCTGCCTAGGCGCGATGCTGCCATATCTGACATCCTACTCCGCCCACCCAGCGCTATCCACTGTTCGGTTCCCAGGCGTCAGCGTCACGAGCCTTTCCGAGCTCCCGCCCCACAGAGCGGAGCGACACGCTGTCCGTTCTCATGGCATAGCCTGTCGCTGGGGCCGCCGCCGCCGCGACACGCCATGCAACAATTCCCGGCCGTAGAGACAGCGGGATGTGAATCGGCGGCGCGCCCGTGGGGTAAGCGAGAGGGGCCAGGCTTTCTCAGAAGGCGGCGGGAGGCCTTCTCAGAAGGTGGCGGGGCCCTCCGGCCTTCTGAAGAGCCACGTCTGCCTTCGGAGTCACCTGATTCCTCGGGATGCCTGAGGCCCTCCGAGCCTTCTGACAGGGCCCGCCCTCTCTCGCCTCCCCCCCCGGAGCGACGCAGAAAAGCGGGGTCGTCTTCGCCGACACCGGCGCGCAAGCTGCCCGCGCAAGCTCGCGCGTGAGCGCCCTCGCTCCAAGCGCAGCGCGCCTCGCTCGCGGCCCACCGGTTTTTGATCCTCGCTCCTCTGGATTCGCCGCCGCTGTGGTCCAGCAGCGAACTTCCACAGTCCTGGTCTGCAGTGTCCTGGCTTCCAGGGCCCTGGCGGGCGGCAGCTGGGTGGCGCGCCGGCCGCGCACAGCGGCTGGCGGCGCGGCAGCCGACGGCGGCGGGTCAGCGGATGTCGGCGGGTCGAGTTGGGGGCGGGTCGGCGAATCTTCGAGTAGGGGATCTACTACATAATTGATTTGGCCCAGACATGGTTTGTATGTCGAGTCTACGGGAGACTTGTTTCGTCGGCGGCGAGGCAGACTTGCTGCATCAGCGGTCGGGAATCTACGAGAACACACGTGGGATGATCCGAGATCTAGGTGGTATTCTAAGTACTTTTCGTAGATCCGACGGACCATCAATTTCGGGATACATGAATTCTGTACAAGTCTGTAGACGATCCCCTAGTCGAGATCCGTTCCACTACTCTCAAAGTGCCTACTCGCAACCGTCAGAACACAAACACATGTTCGCCTCGATGTGGGCTGGAAATCTCCCGTGGAGGAGCCAGGCCATTTGCGAGTAGGTTCTTTGCGAGTGGTGGAATGGCCGCTGCCCCCCCCCCTCACCCGAGCTGTTGGCAACTCCGTTACGGGCGCGCCCCCAGAGGTTGCCCAGAACGGAGTGCCACCAGCCGAGGGGGGGGGCCTTTGAGAACAGAGATCCAAAACGAAACACTCCTGGAGAGGTTTTTGTTGAACGAACTTCCCCTCCAGGATCACAAAACAAAAAAAACATCTGGCGGTTTGAAAGTGAATAACTCTCGTGCCCAGGAGGGGTCTAGAGGGGGTCGCCTAACGGGTTTCCACTCACGCTCGCATCTCGGGAGGGTTTCCCGAGGCAAATCCTGCTCGCACCCGTTTGCCCCCTTCCCCCGAACGCAGGACCCCCCCGAGGCCTGCGCGTGCTCACGCGTCGCGCCGCCGCCGCGTTCGCTCGGCAGCCGAGTCGGCGCGCGGGCGCGTTCTCGTGTCTGCATCAACCCGTCGCGACGAAGGAGGAGGAAGGGGAGGAGGAGGAGGAGGAGGAGGAGGAGGAGGAGGAGGAGGAGGAGGAGGAAGAGGAAGAGGAAGAGGAGGAGGAGGAGGACGAAGATGAAGAGGAGGAGGAGGAGGAGGAGGAGGAGTTGAATAATAGGAGGGGGAGGACGAGGACTAGGACGAGGCGTCCGTTGCGTGCGCAGGAGGATGAGGAGGAGGGAGGGGGCAGGAGGCAGTAGGAGCAGGAGGCTGGAAGGAGAGCAGGAGAGAGGAACATCCAGGCGTGACGAGGAGGGGGAAAGTGGGGAAGGCAGGAGGGACGACGGCGAGGGGGACGAGGAGGGTCAAGGGATGTTACCCTTGCTGCCCAACTCAGACTAGACTAAGTCCCCCCCTGGCAATCAAGGAGGCGGGTGAGAGGACGGAATGTAGAGGAGGCGGGACAGGAGGAGAAAGAGGGGAGGACGAATGGGATAATGGTGATGATGATGCTGATGATGATGAGGAGGAGGAGGTTGAGGATGAAGATGAGGACGATGTTGATGAGGATGAGGCTGAGGATGAGGATGTTGATGCTGATGGGGATGATGATGACGACGATGGTGATGACGATGATGATGATGACGATGATGATGCTGATGATGATGCTGCTGATGATGATGATGATGGTGATGGTGATGGTGATGGTGATGATGATGATGCTCATGACGAGGAGGAGGATGAGGAGGAGGAGAAGGAGGAGGAGGAGGAGGAGGAATTGGTGGAGGTGGAGGCGGGCATTGAAATATGAGGGGCGAGAAGGAACATGAGGAGGATGCTAAATCTATATATATATATATATACATAATCGTGGCAGACATGGATGATGTCAGGCACTGAGATGATGCGGTTCATCATGTCTAGCACGGGGCGCTCGCGCGAAACAGGGGCAGTAAGAGGGGATCATGCAGATGCGGGTGGGCGTGGAGGAATCCGGCTGTCCTTCCTCCGTGTGTTTTTTCACTTTTATCACCGATCCTTCGTTCCCATCATCCTCCTCCTCTGGCTAGTCTTCATCGTCGTCATCCTCATCAAGACTATCGACGTCATTATCATCATCAGCCGCATCGTTATCATCATCCACATCATCGACATCACCATCATCATCATCATCACCATCAGCATCGGCATCGGCATCGTCATCATCAGCATCGTCACCATCGTCATCAGCATCATTAGCATTATCACCATCATCATCATCAGCAGCCTCATCAGCATCATCACCATCATCGTCACCATCATTCGTATCATCACCATCATCATTACCGGCATCATCAGCATCATCAGCATCATCACCATCATGAACATCATCAGCATCATCGTCATCATCAGTTTCACCATCACCGTCATCACCATCATTCATCTCTCCCCCTCCCTCCCACTTGTTGCTCCTTCTATTCGGGAAGGAGGTGAAACTTGTGGCGGCTGTCGTGGCCAAGGGCGGGCGTGGGCCGCGAAAGCGCCGCCGCGCCTTGCAGGCACCGCCCCCGAGCATCCCGGAGCAGAAGCTGGACGACCCTGCCGAAGCAGGCGGGGCCACACCCGGGAGGGGTGGGGGGGGAGGCCGCGCCATGCGATTGGGGATTTTGTTTGGTCTTTCTCATTCTCCGTCTCCTCCTTCGCTCCCTCCCTTCCTCCTCTTCCTCTGCATCAAGTTGTCAGCCTCTGACCCGCATTCTTGACGGCTGTGTATTCTCTTGCTCTTGCAGGTCTCGGGGCCTGCCAATCCTCTTCCTCCTCCTCCTCCTCGTCCTCGTCCTCGTTCTCCTCCTCGTCCTCGTCGTCCTCCTCCTCCTCCTCCTCCTCGCCATCCTCTTGTTTTTCATTATCATCCCCCTCCCCCCCTGCGAGAGCGGGGGGATAGTAGAGGAGGATAACCAGGGAGAAGGGGGGGGGGCATGACGAGCAGTTTGCAGAGCAAGGAGGGGCAGAGGGATGGGAGATCAAATAGATAAACGAGTTGGTCGTGCATAGGGCAGATATGGAGTGAGTTAGATGATCACCAGTAGCTGCATAGTTAGGCGAGGTTGGGCAGGGTCGCGGGCGTTCGCGGGGGGGCCGTGGGCGGAGGATTGACGGGGCCTCACCAGAGACCTTTTGGGGCCCACTCGGGCCCCGCTCTGTCTTTTGCGTGCAGACGCGTGTCTGCACACAATTGCTTTTGTTGGCCTTGTTGCTAGTGATGGTCTGCTCCCTTTGTCTTTTGCGTCTGGGCGCAAAAGCCGCTGGTGCCAGTGGAGGGAGCGGTCAGCAAAGGGTGGGGATATGGGGACGGGAAGGCGGTCGTGCAGGTACCGTTACCATTGCCTCGGTTTCGCCTCTTGGGGCCTCTTGGAAGGCCCTCGCCGCCACCGCTCGATGCGCCCTCGAAGTTCTTGCCAGGGCGCAACCATGGAGAGGTCTGGCACGTATCGGTATCTTTGCTTCTTCCGGTAGCATAGCATGGGAGCCGTGCGAGCCCGCTCAATTCCTTCTTCAGCGTGCGTCCATCAGCGGCTTGTATGCGATGCGACAGCACGGATGTTGCGTCGATTTGGCGTCGATGAGTGTCGGCTCGCAAGAGCCAACAATATTAACAAGATGGTACGGGAGGTTGTTATGAGTTGCCACTGAAGTATCAGGGCTGAACCTAGGCGCTGTTTGCTGGACTTCGGCCGTGTTTTCTTCGTCGTGTTCGGAGGGAGGTACAGGAAACAGGATGAGCAATACGAGCAACAACAAACGGAAACAAGACGACAAACAACGTTCAGGTCCAGCCCGCCGAAGTAACTGCTGGTCTCCCCAGGGGTGGGGGAGGGGGAGGCGGGGCGGACGCGGGGGAGGGAGGGAGAGACGGCTCGAGGCCCGTCGAGGCACGTCCGGGGCCGCGGGACGCCTTGAGCTCCCTCGAAGCGGGGCTCGAGCAGTGGCGAAGCGTCCTGACGTGCCTACAGGCCTACCAGTGGATGTTCTGAGAAGCTGTTGCGGTTTCCCCGAAGTGTTCTTAGAACACTTCTGGCTCGGGCTGTCTTGTTGTAGCACATCGGGCTTCTGTTCTAAGAACATTGTTCTTGTTATTCGAGCAGTCTTGGCTTGTAAGAAAATTTCGTGGTAGGCCTATAGGAATGCCGGCACGGTCGGTCCCTGCTCAATCCAGGGGAGCCCATTCCTTGGCATCGCTCGGATGTGTTTTTTTCGGCGAGGACCAGCGAGGGGCATCTGGGATCACCGTGCGAGGCATGCGCGCGCAAAGCCGAACCATTCCCGGGGCATGGACAGGCCCGAGCGATGGCGAGCTTCTGCAGGGGGGGACGGGCCGTTGGGCGCGACGGACCGCTTGCGCCCTGCCGGGTCCTTTTCGATCCGATCGGTCTGGTCCGATCCGATCGATCCGATCGATCGATCCGATCCGATCGGTCTGGTCCAATCGGTGACCACACCGTGCGGTGAGTCGGTGGGGGTTCGGGGTCGCCGCACGGTTTTGGGACGAGGGTCGTTCTCCGAGGACGTCTCGGGCGACTGGGGCATCCGAGGTCCCCAAACCGTGCGTTGACGGACCGTGCGGTGAGTTCTCGGGGGATTTCGAGGTCACCGCACGGTCTGTCACCGCAACGTTTCGGGACTCCAAAGTCGGCTCTGGCCAGCCCGATTCGAGTCGCTTCCGCTTTTCGGGCGACGCGGTGCGGCCCGGTGCCTGCACAGCGCTGGTGCGCATCTTGGTACCGCCGATGCGGTTCGATGCCAGCTCCGTGCCGCTGCGGAGCGATTCGATGCACGCTCCGATGCGATCCGATTCCCGATTCGGCGATGAAGACTCCTGCCCTGGAGGCGGTGGAGGGGGACGGGGTTACCGCGGGCGGGTGTCCATTCGGGACGAGCGAAGTGGGCACGGACGACATGGGCGCGAAGACCGTCAGGGCTCGTTGTCGGTGTTGCCGCAGGCGTCGTCCGTTTGAGACAGAGGGCCGCCTGCCCAACAGAGGCCGCAGTCGGTGCGAGACAGCATTTGTTGTTGGGCATTGTATCCACCTTTGTCCGTATACATTTCGGGCGTTCAAATCCGACGGACGGACCATTTGCGCTATGGCAGCGGCCGACGCGGATTCGGAGGGAGGAGGAGGGGCGGGGAGGTCCATGGGCTAGATGGACGGACCACCTGCGCCATGGGACGTGAGGGATGTCCACGGGCTGGATGGACGCACCACTTGGCGCCCTCGATTCGCCGCCTTCCAGGGAAGGGCATTCGGGAAGGGCTTTCTGCTTCCCCGTTCTCTCATTGCGGGCTGGCGGAGGGGCGGGGGGAGGGCAAGGTCCATGAGCCAGATCATCGGACCATATGCGAGATGGAAGGGCAAGGGGACGGGGGGGGTAAGGGTGACATTTAAGAGTATGTGGCCTGCCGCTTTTCTCAGCATCATGATCACCATCATCATCATCATCATCATCATCATCATCATCATCACCATCATCATCATCATCATCGTCGTCGTCATCATCATCATCATCATCCTTTTCATCCCCCTCCGCATGTTCCTTCTCGTATTATTCGTCCTCCACATTTCCTTTCTTTCCCGCGCCATTAAAACAATAAGACATCCGTACAATCAAAAACAATAAGAAACCCATACAATCCCAAACAATTAGAAATCCATACAACCAAAAACAATCAGAAACCCATACAATCAAAAACAATCACAAATCCATAATATCAAAAACAATAACAAATCCATACAATCAAAAACAATAAGAAATCCGTACAATCAAAAACAATGAGAAATCAATACATTCAAAAACAATCAGAAAACGTCTTGGGTCCCCGAACCCTGTGAGGGTACCAAACCAAAAATCAATTGTTTTCGTGTCTTCGGGCTTCCTCCGGGCCCCTCCAGCTAACAAATCCATACAATCAAAAACAATAAGAAATCCGTACAATCAAAAACAATAAGATATCCATACAATCGAAAACAATCAGAAAACGTCTTGGGTCCACGAACCCTGTGAGGGTACCAAAAAAACAAAAAAAAAAAAAAAACCTGTGAGGGTACCAAAAAACCAAAAAACAATGGTTTTCGCGTCTTCGGGCTTCCTCCGGGCCCCTCCAGCCCAGATCCGCCCAGGCAGCCTGAAGGCACGAAAACCATTGTTTTTTGTTTTTTTTGGTACCCTCACAAGTTTTTTTTTTTTTTTTTTTTTTTTTTGTTTTTTTTGGTACCCTCACAGGGTTTGTGGACCCAAGACGTTTTCTGATTGTTTTTGATTGTACGGGTGTCTTATTGTTTTTGATTGTACGGATTTCTTATTGTTTTTGATTGTAGGGATTTCTTATTGTTTTTGATTGTATGGGTTTCTTATTGTTTTTGATTGTACGGATTTCTTATTGTTTTTGATTGTATGTATTTGTTATTGTTTTTGATCGTATGGGTTTCTTATTGTTTTTGATTTTACAGGTTTCTGATTGTTTCTGATTGTATGGGTTTCTTATTGTTTTTGATTGTATGGGTTTCTTATTGTTTTTGATTGTATGGGTTTCTTATTGTTTTTGATTGTAGGGTGTTCTTATTGATTTTCATTGTGGAGGCTTCTTATCATTTCTCATTGTACCGGCCCCCTCCTCTCCATTACTTATCCCTTCTCCTCCCCCTCCGTCCTGACCTGGGAAGCGAAGAGGCGGAGGGGGAGGAGGAGGAGGAGGAGGAGGAGGAGGAGGAGAGACGATGATGGTGATGACGACGACGGTGATGACGATTAGGATTATGATGACGATGATGACGATGATGATGATGACGATGATGATGATGGTGATGATGACGAGGGCGAGGGCGATGACGAGAAGGGATGATGATGGCGATGATGATGATGATGATGATGATGATGATGATGATGATGGTGACGACGCGGCAGAGGACGAGGATGAAGGGAGACCATGATGATGGCGATGATGATGATGGTGATGATGATGATGATGATGCTGATGATGATGATGATGATGATGATGTGGAGGAGGAGGAGGAGGAGGAAGAGGAGGAGGATGAGGATACATGATGATGATGACGATGCGCAGGAGGAGGAGGATGAGGCGGCGTGATGATGCCGATGATGTCGATGCTGAGGATGACGAGGATGATGATGATGATGATGACGACAATGATGATGATGATGATGATGACAATGATGACAATGATGATGATGATGATCATGATGATGATGATGATGATGATTATGATGATGATGATGATGATGATGATGATGATGATGATGATGATGATGATTTTGATGATGATGATGATGATGATGATGATGATGATGATGATGATGATGGGAAGGGGGATGGTGAGGAGGAGGAGGAGGACGGATGATGATGAGGGATGATGGTGATGATGGTGATGATGACGATAACGAGGACGAGGACAAATGATGATGATCATTATGATGATGATGGTGACGATGAGGAGGATGAGGAGGAATAGCGCTGATGATGGCAAGGATGATGATCATGAAAATAAGGAGGATGATTACTGATGATGATGACGACGACGATGATGATCAGGAGC